CAGGCCCGTGGCGGGGATGCACGGGGGCACACAACTGCCCACATCCAGCGGAATTTGCGGCGAAACGGCCATCGGGGTTGGGAGTGAATGGCACGTTCAAGGCTGTCTATCTGGCAGATCTCTCGGGCGTTGGATGCAAGACCCCCAGCCTATTGCGGGATACAAGCCCATTTATGCTAAATGAGGGGTGTTCACGGTGGCATTCCTCCACAGAACGAGGCGACCACACAGGACCACTTTGAACAAGCAGCCACCATCAGCACCACCAACATCAGTACCATCGTCATCGCCACCGTCATCAGAATCACGATCATAATCGNNAATAGCTACCATAACAATCATGATAGTACTCATCAGCATCACCATCACCACCATCAATACCACCATCACCACCACCATCATCACCCTTACCATCACCATCAGTGCCACCACCACCGCCGCCGCAGCTGACACCAATACCACCACCATCTTCTTCATCATCATCACCATCACAATCACCATCACCAACACCATCACCATCATCCTCTTCTTCATCATCATAGTGAAAAATCACCACCAAGATCACCATCAATATCACCATAATCATCATCATCAATCTCATCGACATAACCATCGTCGTCGTCATACATGTATGGTTGAGATATGAGAGTTGAATCGCAGCGAATGCAGCAGCCGCAGCGGCAGCAACAACGACATGGACGAAGGAGCTGAGACCGATAGCGGGATCGAACAAGACACTCGCCTACGAGTCTTGGGCAGTGTGAGTGCAACCAGTGCAACCTTAAGCATGCGGATCATTGAATGCATCAAGCTCATGATATGCTTATTTCGAAGCACCACTCCCACGATTGCTTTGCTGTAGGGCATCTACCTCGCAGTTGAGCTTTTTGTGGGCAGCTTCGCGTTCACCTCCGCTGGAAAATGGGTCTGGCCATCGACCCGAAGATTGCGAGCAACGCAAAGGTGAAACTTCCCTGATCTGTGAGTCTGTGAGGGCTTGGCTCCGGAGCTTCGGTGCCCACTGCCTGGAATTCGCGTTGAGGGCGAAAGGGATCAGATCAGGGATACCCTGCGAGTCGGGCGAGGATTGGGTTGAGGGATTTGGGCTTTGGGGTTTGGGCATTCAGGGGCTTGTACTTACCCGCCCGGAAGCAGTCTCTCTGAGCCCGGCGCAGAGTCACAGGTCGGGTGGAGTCCGGGCTGCTCTTCAGTGACGTTGCCATGGCGCCTCGGAGGAGGTTGACATGAGGGCTCAGGGACATGGGGGGGGGGTTGGGGTAGGCCAGGTTTTGCAAAGACAACGATACTCCTCAGCTCCGTTGCTACTTCTGTTGCTACAGCTCGCCGAGCCCAAAACCCACAACACCGACCAGCCTTTTTTGCAGCACAATCTAGCATGTAATTCTAGCGGGCTCATAGGCACCGCTTCGGCGCGAATGCATGCAAAGGTTCCCCAGCTAAACCTCAGAAATGAGGGCACCCTTTCTACTACTACCACACTCACACTATAACACGAAAAAGACTACTGGGGTACCCACGGTATGCATTCAATCAAGCATAATCAAGCCCTTTTCGGCCTGAGGGGGTTGAGTGTGGACCTGCTTCCGTCAGGGGCCGCCAGACTAAGCCCTTACCAGCACCCGTGGCGGAAGAATTACGCGACTGCGTACGTACCCGGAGGGATACACCATCGGGCGGTAACCTCCGATAAAGGACGTCTCTCGACTCATGGGGCGCTGTTGATGTGGAAGAGCTCGCGCTTGCACATACACCACAGGCCGCATGACGTAGACCGTGACGAAAGGGGTTCCGCGCTGGACTCCCTGCATATGCACGGCTGGATGTGGAAATGCTGGGCAACAGCTCCGGTCGAAAATCGATGTAGCGGTGCTTGCAACCATCTTCACTGCGGGGTTTGGGATCGTCTTGGTGTGACACGGAAACCTGCCTGGAGAAGGGGTTGCATCAGTGATTGTGTGGCTTCATAGGTCGTTGCAGGGGTCTAGTGCGTACGATTCCAGAGTGCAGGGTTTCTTGATTGGGGCGCAAGCTGGAGAGCTTCAGTGTCGTAGGGATAAGGGCTCGGGGCTTAGCTTGTGCGGGTTGGAACTTGGCAGCCTGCGACACTGCGAGCTGCATACGTCCTGGAAAGTTCATGTCCTGGGGCGTGGCTGAGGACATAGGAGTATGGAGCCGAGC